TCTCCTTTCACTGTGAGGACACAAGAGTGTGTCAGTGCTGGAGAGATAAAGCCCTCTCTAAAGCACACACAGAGTGAGAGATAGAGAGAGAGCGAGAGCGAGAGAGAGAGAGAGAGAGAGAGAGAGAGAGACACTGATAGAGTAGGGGAGGAAGCGGGCCGTGCTCATGGCCAACTCTCTAGAACACACTCACACAAAATCAATCTCCATTGATCACTCTCTCGAACCCCAGTCACCTCACTCACACACACACACACACACACACACACACACACACACACACACACACACACACACACACACACACACTCTCTCTCTCTACTTTTTTTGCATTACTTGTTGCAGTCCTTCAAGAAGGAAAAAAAAAAAGTTTAAAAAAAAAGAAAGAAAGAATGAAAACTCCATGTTCCACTAGAGTGGCCACACAAGATGAATTCTGCAGCACTTCTGTGGCTCTCTCTGGGAAAGGGAGTGTATTTACCACTCTGCTCCAAGTTCAATATTAGGAGAGCCAACATGGTGCACGTTCCCCAGCTGATTGTAGCGTGTGCATGCCCATACACACACACTAATATGCACACACACATACACAGTTGCCCAAATGTCTGTCTGTCTGAACTAGAAAGTGCTTATGCTGGCTGTCTCTCTCTCTCTCTCTCTCTCTCTCTCTCTTCTTTCTTTTCATAACTGACCGCCTTTTCCTTCTCGCCTTGTGTTGTTATCAGACACTCCTGCTGGGCCAATTTAAACGCGGCTTCTCCTTTTAATTTCGATAATATCAGAGGCTATTATCTGCTCACCGCCTGCCTGCTTGACCGCCACAAATGCAACCCCGCCCATCCCAAATCATCCATCTAGAACAAAAGGAAGATAATGAAGAAGCTGGCGCAGAGCTGGTCTGAACCATTAAGGTCCAGGTTATGTGAATATTAGAGCAGAGCACTGGGGGCAACTAAGTGCCCACGCCTCAAGTCGTGTAGGTGATTTTCTCCTGCCCTCATGGGGGGAGTTACACTGTTACCTTGGCACTTAACTGTTGTAATAGCCAGTTCAGTGTTTTAGAGTGAGGTGCTAAATGAACGTGGTTGAATGGGATTTTTCCACTGCTCTGCCAAACTGAGCTAAGCTGAATTGTGCAGTCGGAGGAGTGGGAATATATGGGCATCTGTCAATAGGGCAGGACTGGGAACAAACAAGCCACTTATTTGGAGTAACAACATCAAGTGAGCACACCCAATATGTTGGTTAAAATCCCTCACAGGAAAACTGTTGGCACACAACAAGTGCAGTGGGACAATTTACAGTTTACCTTCCTTTTCTCTTCAAAATGAATTAGGCTAACCTGTGGGTTTGCTTAAAACCCGTCTGATCATGTGACTGCTCATACGTCCTGCCTCATTCGACTGTATTTTAGTTTAGTTAAGTTAGTTTTTGTTCAAGTTTCCAATCCAAAATCTCAACAATTTACTTGAGTGAGTACAGATGAATATTACTTATGGAATTTCCAATTAACATAGGCCGATTTCCCTGCAAGGCTTTCACAGTTTCATTTTCTGGGTCTGAACTGGGCTTAAGAATAAGAGGAAGATTGTGTTATTTCTTCTCTTAAAAGTTACACAGTCTCGCTTTAAGTAAGCACCAAAGTGCTCACATTGTAAAATGTAGAGGTGTCAACAAGCTGCAGATGTCAGCATTGATATTCCTCTTTGCAAAAACATACCCCAAGTCTTAGACTTGTATTTAGTGCTAACAACATGCTCCATATAACTCCAGTCACTTTAAAAGGGGGATAATCTGTGAAAAAAAAACTTCTTTTGTGGCTTCACTCCTGAGTGCCAGATAAGACTCCCGAGTTGATTTGAATTGGACACGACGGCTTCTCAGAACGGTAGCCAATTCACTTACCCCAATGAAAAACTGCCATTCAAATCGAATGAGTCAAACGAGGCTTTGCACAAAAGCACCAATCCAACCGCCCACACTATTCTTAAAGTTAAAAGCTCTCCCATTCGCTCAGCTCTCTCTCCTCTCGTGCCATCACCCGCTCTTCCTTCTTCCCATCTTTGCCTCTCTCTGCCTCCATCAGCTCTGACAACTCCATAATCTAAGCCCGAGTGACCTGTCCAGACCCTCTGTACTGGTTGAATTTATTGGAGGCAGAAAGAGAATGAGAACCTGTCACTCGGCTTCCCTTGACCTCCTAACACCCCGTCTCTCTTCCTCAGACACACACACACATACATCCTGGCAGACATGCATGTATACCATACTGCACTCTGGCACCTATAGTTCAACCGACAGTACCCGTATAAACATACAAAGTACAAATGCAAATATTCTTCAGTTCAGATATAAATAAAAGGTATAAACGTGTTTTGATTAATATTAAACCTCAGCTTACGACTCGGCTGAACCTTCCTTTGAATCTTTGGTCGACTGCCCTTCTGAATACTGTCTATTGACAAAAGTCCATTTGCTATGTGTGGGAGCTTTCAACAAGGCTGCTTCAATAAAACCAAAGGTAAACAAACCTACAGATCACAGCTAGCTAAGCAGTTGGCACCTACTTGACTATGTCTGCTTGCATTGAGTTCACTGGCACACGATGCAACAAGAAATAAATAGCACTGGTGCTACGCATTGTGGCCGGCAAAATGTTAATTTGTCACTTCAAAACATAACATCTAGATTTCCATTTAATACATTAACTGGTGACTTACAGATTAGGCTTTAAGGTCACCTGCATCAGTACCTGGTGGCTTATTCAGCATACAGAGTCTGCCAGCTCTGGGCAGATCCACCAGTCAAAAGAATATAACCTTTGCAGATACAGTTCTAAAACTAGCCAAGTGCGCTTTGGCACAGTAAAGAGTGAATTAAACTCTCCACCTTTTTCACAACAGTTACCATTTTAGCTCAAAGGTAGTCAAAGAAAAGATAGGAAAGCACACTTCTTCACTGTTTACCTTCCTACAGTTCAAGTACATAAGGCAGAAAGTCTACTGTGATGGACACCATTCACTGATTGCAGATTTAACCTTTTAAATAGACTAAAGACAAAAAAACATCCAGAACACACTTGTCTCCATTTTACACTCGCAAGAGCTCTGTGTTCTTTTCAAAGGAGTCAGATTCACTGGTTACATGGAAAAGCTGACATAAAAATTGCCTTACCATTAGCATCAATTATACTGGCCTATTTAAAATGCAGGCAACGGAAGAATGAAAAAAAAACAGCTTTTGACTCCTTGTTGCAGATGTGACGTGATAACAGCGAAAGTCTCTGTTCTGGTGCTGAGTGTGTAGTTATTATCAGCAATACTATCATTATCATCATCATTATTATTTTTTACTTTAATTTTTTTTTGCCAGTGACTGCCTGCTGTTGTTGCCAGGGGTAATTATGGTGCCTTTGATGGCCTTAACCCTCCATAAACCGTCATTACAGCACTCACACTACTTTCTCTCCCTGGATTTAATCCTGTATTCTGTTCATCCATTCACTCACTCAATCACTCACTCACTTGCTCTTGCATCCCCCTCGTTCTCTAAATGTTTCATGGCTCATTCCTCTTTCAACATAGTTCCCTCCCTCCCTCTCCAGATGCCTCTCCACTGTACTCTCTGTTCCTCTTGTCTCTCTCTCTCTCTGTCTTTTATATCTCTTTATTTCCACTCTGCCAGTGGTGAGCGGTCACCAAGCTTGTTATTAGTGCCAGGTCCAAGCCAGCACTGTAATCAGACCCCTGGAATTAGCAGTGGGCCCACACTGGCAGGCGGGCACGACGCTGACAAAACACTATAGTTATTATTGAGGCTGCTGCAATGTTGCAGCTTTGGCAGGAATCCGCCGCTCCCCTCAGAGCCCTGGATCTTGATGGGCTTTGCTAAAGAGAAGCAATGAGAGGTACAGCAGGAGTGCAGGCACCCACCAGGGGCTAAGGGATGAAATACACTCTGGATGGCTACCAATGGGAGCAGTGAGTGGCACACACTCTGTTTGTGAGGGTGCAGGTGGCGCTTAAGCGCTGGGAGCGTAGCCATATTGGAAAGACAATAGATTGGACATAATGGGGACATGTTTTAGTATTGGGGGATAAAGATAGGAAGGGAAAGCCTGTTGTATTAGGATAGGGTGTAATAGAAATCCATTTACTTGACAATAACAAGCAATTTAGCGTCACTCAGAGAGTTACAGATTTGTGTTAGGCTGATTCAGTCCCAAATCAAAACAAAAACCAGATCAAAATGTCTATTATTTTATCTAAACCTCCACATTCGCCATGCTTTGAAGGACCAGTGTGTAGGATTTAGTGGCATCTAGTGGTGAATTTGCAGACCAACTGAATGCCGCTCTCCTTCCAAGCAAGAAACTGTGTCCGCAAAAAATCCAAAAGGCCCTATTTAGAGCTGATGTTTGGTTTGTCCATTCTGGGCTACTGTAGAAACATGGTGGCCCCTTTCTCTGTAGATAAATTCTTCTTTTTTTTAGGTGATTATACACTAATGAAAACATAACCTAAATGTTAAAAAGCAGTTCATTCACCTATACTTCAAACTTTCACAGAGGTTTAATGGTGTCAGTCTCAGATTGTTTTCTGAAATATTGTAGATTCAGTGGACTTCTGGGATTGATCTTTTCTGCATCAAAGGCGCCAATTTGATCTCTAAAAATTCTAACATTCTAAAATTCTAAATCTAAATATAATATAAAATTCTAAAAAAAACTCTATATACTAATGTTAACACTTCAAAAACATGTTCTAACATAAGAAAAATGCTGCTAATGCTAGAACGTTTTGAAGAATGATATCAATATGTTTAGAGTGTGGTGTTCATAAATAAATACAACAGAGCAGATGAACGGTCGGTTCAAACTTTTCTTCAAATGTACAACTTGTGTTCTTTTTAACTACGAGCATACAAAGTGTTTAAATGTTAAACGTTAAATTGACATGACTTTCTCTATGAGTGGTTGGCAGGTAGGTAATGGTACTTACAGCAGGGTCCCTTGCGCAGCACCTTGATGCGTCGCTGTGAGGTGCACTGAGATTTCTCCAGCTCGCACTCGTTGCTGTAGGTGGACGCATCCGAGCCGCAAACAGGCGCCACCAAGGATGGACATTCCATTCTCTTGCACATACACTCTGCCTTGGATGGGTCAGTCTGGTCACGCTCACATACAGCGCCAAAGCCACAAAGCATCCCTCTGCAGCCTGCCGGACAGGAAGAAACAAAGGAAGAGGTGTTAAGATTGATAAAAAACACAATTTCAAGGTCAGTCACAGCAGATCAAAGTTGAAAGCATGAACTGATTTCACATGCACAAACTCTATTCAACGTGCTTTCCTCAAGTTTTCATGAGTGAATGCAAAGAAAGTTTATATTGTAACACCAGACAGGCGTGTCTGAACAGACTCATCTCAATATGCGTCAGCCATTGGGGTCTTTGTGCAGAACTCTACACAGTTCAGCAACACAAATGCATCAGGGATTAAATGTGATCCTGGCGTAAAGCAAACAGATGCTCTCAATTCATTCAGGGAAAATCTGTCCACCCATGCAGAGCAAGCACAGTGTGTTGTTGGACGTGCTGAGCCCATTGCAGAATTTGGAAAAGCTTCAGTGTTCAAAATTTTAATAAGTTAGCAACAACATTAAAATCAATCTACAGGCCACAGGCTGATACACCGTCTTGGACAGTTTGTTTTCACCCTCTGAGGAGGCTGCATTCTTTGAAACATCAATGATCCGCCGTTCAGCAAAACATTGAGGGACAGCAACATGAAGACAAACCAAGGTTAGCCAACACTTCAAGGCTGCACAAGTCAGGCTACAACAACTCATAAGACTTTGATCCTAAACTTCCCACTGATTCATCGGCTTTGATCAAGTGTGAAACAGCAAACCGTAAACTTTGTCAGCGGCTGCTGAATGCACAAACAAACAGGGACTACCTGTGTGCGTATGTGCTCGTGTGGTGTGTACATAACATCAACTTAGAGAGTAATTGACCCGTGTTGTGGCAGCTACAGCTGCTGTGGCTCTGCGCCCACTTTGAGGGCTGTTTGGCAGCCAGCTGGTGTGACGTCCTTGCCTCAGCACTGGGGGGCGTTAAAAAAGATGCCAAGCTCTCACAGGTAGCCAACCTGATCGTAAGTCAATGGACGAAAACGCATAAAAATCCACTCAAAAAAAGTCCTCTTGGATTGGAGGGGTGAACCACCAGTGTCACTGCTGAGGATATACATGTCACACACTCACACACACGTGCACACACACAGCTATTTCTTATCGCTGGCTCCCAGGCCAGGACTAAACGCAAAGCAGCATGTCCACTTGGACTTGCTGGCAGATGGCTTTTGCGGTACTGGATAGACAGACAGACAGTGTGATAGACATACACACACATATACACAAACTCTTTGTGTGCAGCATAGACAACTGGTCCAGCATCTGCCCAAGGCATCTCATTCTGTCTCTCTCCTCATACCGAAGCACAGTGCGTGAATGTTTGTGTGTGTGTGTGTGTGTGTGTGTGTGTGTGTGTGTGTGTGTGGAGTGACAGGCGAGGAGGCTGTTTTTGACTTGCCCACTGTTCCCTGTGGGAGAGCGCCTGACAGCTACCTGAGCTCACTCTCTTTTGTACCAGGGGAAAAAGAAGAATGTGTGTGCGAAGCTATCCATGAATGCATCTGTATTTCTGACAGAGTATGTGTGTGTGTCTGAGAGGTGTAGGCATTAGGTGTCTCACACACACACACACACACACACACACACACACACACACACGAGACAACCAGGTGCTACCATGAAGGCCTTGTCATGACTGGCCCACTGCTCTGCAATCACTTCACACTATGCTCTGAGTGTGTGTGTGTGTGTGTGTGTGTGTGTGTGTGTGTGTGTGTGTTTGTGCATGTGAGTGTCAGTGGGTGGCTCGGAAGCGAAGCCATGCAAGCAGTGACAAGAGGTGAAATTCAATCGAAATGTGTCAGATGTGTACAAGAGAGAGGGAGGGTGTCTGATCGTATGACAGGGTAAAATAAAACAGACAAAATAAGACACTGAGGTTGCAGGTGACCTCAGAATGATTTCTCTGTTTCAAATGTTTCTGCAGTGTTTCTTAACAATATTGGTAACACCAATATATTCTAGTGAAATCATAAAGCAAATACTATTGTATTATATTGTCATTCAAATAACTCACAAAAAAATAACGATTGTAAACACTGACAGTGAACACACCACCTGAAGAGAAAAAAAATCATGAATGCTAGCAGTGGCTTGTAACCAGATCTCTTCTGAGATGTTTTCCTATAAGAAAATCTCAGTCTAGCCTCGAGCATAGCTGAGTGACAAAAGACTGACACCAGAGCTGAGGGTTCTGTCAAAGTCAAGGTATCAAGTGCTAGCTCTGGACCGAGTGTACAAACTGCATACTTATGTACTGGGAGTTTTTGCCTGCGAGAAATCCTCCTGGTACTTGAGCAAAGTTATATCTGACACTTCCGGTCTCTGAAGAACAGAAAGAAAACCTTGGTAGTTAATATGAACGGCGTTATCTACCATGGCTGAAAACAAAAGTACTTTGTAAACAATAAATTTGAACAGTGCTGGCCCTGGCTCAGTTTGATTGGCAGGTGATCTCTGGGAGACCAGAAACAATAATAAAAACAGCGAGGATCCTGTGGACATGTCCTGGAGACAAATAGGCATTACTTTACAAAAACAATTGTGATAAAATGTAATCTTCAGGAAGCCAATGTAAAGCTTTTTCCTCAACTGCGTCCTACTACTGCATGGTTTGGCACTCAAACGACCAGGGACAACCATTCATGCACAGTCATCCATTTACACATTAGTGTAGCGAGTAGGAATGGCTGACTGGATGAATACTTCCAAGTATTTAAGTCACGTTTTGTTGTTTTATGTTCCTAATTCAATGAATGAAGTGTATTTTACGATTAGTTAACAAGCCAATAAGCTAGTCTTAGTTCGGTAAACGGAAGAAACTTGAAGTCAGGTGGTGAACAGTTATAGTTTTGTGTTTAATAAGGAAAACGGGTGTAAGAATATTTCCTTTCTTGACATTTTGCGATGTTATTTGGTTTATTTTTTGGAACATAGCAACTTGCCGCTCGCAATTAGGTAGCACAGTCGCTACAGTTGACGGAACAAGCTAGCAGCAGCTAGCATAAATGCTTAAAACCTCACTGAATTAGGCCCATTTCCTTTTTGCCTCTTTGATGTATTAAACAGTGAATGAGATGTCCACACTTGGTGAGAAGAAAGATAGAAATAAAGATTATTATTATGGTGGTTGATTTATTCAAATGAAAGCTGCCCTGTGCATGACTGTACCACATTAGCATGAGTGTCCTACTCTGGCTGCCACCTGGCAAATTGCTCACACAGATTAATAACACAAAAATAATGGTGGCTATTCAATTTACATTAGTTTTCAGTAGTTGTACTTAATGAAATGGTGAGTGTACGTCAGACCTAATGGTTCGAGTTAAAATGTATGTAATTCACAGAAAATGTTCATTTTAGTTTTACAGCCATTTCTTTGGTTATAAATGCTCACTGCCAACTATTTTTTCAGGTCCCAGGGTTTCATGGCCTGTAAATGTGTCCACCAGCACTGTTCCTCAGGGATTATTTAAACCCCCTTGGTTGAGACCTAGCTTTGATGTTTCCTACATTTTTAACTATTCCAATGAACCAATAAAGATCAGGAATGTTACATTGGGATGAAAATGTATTGGACTACATTGTTTCCCTATGTGCTAATTGTCCCTTACATGAATACAGTTTAAAGAAGGTCTCCAGCATTGAGACAGGGACTTTAAGTAGAATTTTCTTTTCTCAGATTATGGAAGCTGTGACACATTTAAAAAAGGTCCTCAGTACAACAGTACATAATATGTAGGTAGCCTATATTAAGAGAGTTCAAGCCACTTTGCTCTGACGTAGGCACAATGTCATCAGATAACTTGATCTAAAACCCTACGCAATGAAAATCTATTACTGGTTTTCCTACTGAGTGTGCTGTAAAAAAAAAAGAAATCTTGCACCTTTACAGGCACTTAATACCAGTTAGAAACGTGGTCTTAAGTGCATGCAAAAGTGTTTGCTTTTGTTAACAGAATTGAACAAGCACACTTAATTTCCACATAATTTCCAGCATGAATGTAATTCTTTGTGCAAATGTCCTTTTCAGAGCAATACATGTGTGTCTATGCAGGTGTGTCGCCGGTCTGTGTAAGGGTAAGGTAAAATAATCTCCAGCCCTGCAGCGTTAACAGCTTCATTTCCATGCTGGTTTTTTTTTTTTCGACTGGAGGCTGAAGAAGAAAATCCCATTGGGGAGAAAAGACAGCATATCCAGCTTGCGCTTGTCATGGCATATGTCTTGTCCAGGTAACACTACATCCTGTGTTTGGACGGTTCATCCATTAAATATGACATGGTGTCAGAGCCTCAAGGATGCTCTCAATGCAGGGGGGTTGCGAAAGGTAAAGGGAACGCGCCGCTGTGATTAAAGCCGCAGCCAATAAATGTCACGGTTAAGGAGTTGAAAGAAAGTCTAACATAGTTCTCTGATGGCAATTTTCCACTGATTCTATTGCCAGTGCTGATGCTTGAGGATTCAGTACGGCACTAAGGCGATAAACATTTCAGTTCAGTTCTTTAGTAGATCAAAGCACATGTCATTGTGCAAAAGAATAAATTCTTTTTTGACCATTTCACAACAACAACACAGTTGACATGGTGCTTTCAAATCCAATCCCAGTTTTAAATTAGTATTTGATTCTACTCATGGTGAATGGAAGATACACATTTCATCATTATCCTTGCAACATTTTGTGCTAGTTCCTAGCTAAGATTCAGACGGATTCAGACAGACACAGATTCAATACATATGTCCAAAAACCAGTAGTTCCTATTACTTCGAGATTGTTTCTACTCTGTGAAGAAAATGTCCCCACAGCCTGTGTTTGTGGTGAAATGCTCTATCAGTTTCATTGTTTTCCTGCCTTGTTGCATTTACCTCAAACAAAGTGAAAAGGAGAGAAATGGACTGTCGTGGCAAGCATGAACGCGTTCAGACCCAATAAGGCTTGACAGAATCGCCTTGACAAACTCAAAATGGCTACTTTAGGGAAGGAACACTATTCTCTGCGGGGGGGGGGGGTCGGTGACCTGTCAT